ACATACATACATACATACATACATACATACATACATAAGTGGTGCCTCGCTTAGCGATGTTAATCCGTTCTGGAAAAACCGTTGCTAAGTGATTTCATCGCTAAGTGATATTAAAGAGCCCACAGGAACACATTAAAATGCGATTAATGCATTCCTATGGGCTTAAAAACTCACATTTAAGCGAAAATCCTCCATAGCTCTGCCATTTTCGCTGCCTCTTAAGCGAGGAAAAACAGCGGGCGGCCTTTTTGTTTTCCCAGTGGCCATTTTGAAACTGCCGATCAGCTGTTAAAAAGGGTCGCTTTGCCATGATCACTTCCCCGCGATCATCGCAAAGCAAAAAAACCCCATAGGGACCATCACGAGCAATCACTATGCAAGGCACCACTATACATACATACATACATACATACATACATACATACATACATACATACATACATACATACATACATACATACATACATACATAATCCAAAACTTCCTGTCTTCTGTTGGACCCTTTATTCTGACTTACTGTTAAATGCCTAATAGCTGAAAATCGAGAAATTCCTAACCAAATGAAGGGCAGCTTCTACAAACAGCAGATCTTCTCCAACTGCATTTATCCCCATGAATCTGTCACTTTTTTCTCTCTTCATTTCCAGACCCAAGGAGCAAACCGGAACCGAAACAGGGAAGATGCTCGGCGCTACTCCAATCGTGCACGCACCTTCGCCACCTTAGCCGTCGGGTTCGGCCTCGCATCTTTGGTGGTATTTATCATTGCAACGGTGGTTCATCATAACCAGACGCAAAACTCACCGCCACCAAACAGCCCCTGAGAATGCTCATATCCTGAAAAATCTACTCTTCTCTCCCTCTTCCGCTGTCAACTCAAGGAAGCCCAAGTGTGATGTCTTCGTCTTTGAATTGTCCCGTCAACTAAAAGGGCATGCAACAGAGCTCATAGAAATGTGTGTGTATGTTGTATGCTTTCTGCATACTTGACCTGACAACTAGCAAGGGAATACAGGAAGTGCAAAGCATTGCAACTGGTGTAACAGCTGATGATCTGAATGCCCTACATGGTGATGACATAGTTCTGATGGTCCGAGTGAGGAATTATCACGAATGACCCATTCCCCTGGTACAAAATATCCCCAATGGAAATGCAGGAATGAGGACAGGCACACTGGGTGGTCTCAAGGATCAGATAGGAAATGTTGGCCCATTTGTTAGCTGGACAATGTCCATTGTAGCTGCCAAGATATTCTTAAGGTTAAAACATCATGATCCAGCTCCATACAATCAAGTTATAGTTTCAGATCATCTTCCAGCTGCCCATTTCCCCTCTGCCCATTCCCTCTTTCAGATGTAATTCCTGTCCTAGACTTCCCCCCCCCCATTTCCTTTTCTTGTTGTTCCTCCACCTTCTAAGCCTGCTTCCAGTCTCCTCTCGCCGGCTTTCCTGTGTGGACTTGCCAGCTAGACTGTTTCACAGGTGAAAGGAGAGACATTCTTACACCACTATTATTTTCATAATATGAGTTTCTGCCTACATCCTGTTCTCACTCCCCTTTACAAAGGGGATGGTATTGTCTTCTGTCGTCTTTTAGTGTACAATAATCTCTCCTGCCTATTTGAAAAAGAAGCAATTTGTTAGCATCTTCTTGTGGACAATAAACAAGTAAATAAACAATTGTAATTTATGGTGATTGTGATGTATGTTGTGCAGGGTTCATTTTCTGTGAATTGTTTTTCATTTCTACATTACAGCAGGAAATGAAGCAAAGGTTTTAGGAAGAAATCTTACAAGCTGCAGTCCTTACTATGATGAAAGGTATTTGTTGGTCATTAAGAACGATTGTTTGAATTCACAATCTGCCTGGCTAAAATGGTTCAGGGATTTTAAAAATGTGGGAAATGCTCCGGGATTGAGATGGGCTGATCAATTTTTTTTCCTTTGACCACATGATGCAAAGAGAAATAAAAATCAGCCTGAAGTCACTGCCCCATCCATAGTTTTGCCTCCACTGCTGGAGGTACTATTTGTCTTTTCTTTTAGAATGAATGCATTTGCACCAATTCAGGTGTGGGATCACTTCAACCAAAACAAAAGCTCCTTTCCCCACTAACACACATTTACAGCTTCTCTATTTCTATGATCAAAACTATATACTTTTTTAATTTTTCAGCTTAAGAATGGAGTTTCTTTCTGTCAGCAAGAGGTTGAATTTTGTTAAGATGAAGATATGAGGAAATTAGGAAGGGAAGCCTTGTTTACAACATATTTTTTTATTTCCTCTGTAATTTGTAATGGCGCCACCTGTAGGGCTATAAATAGAACTGTGAGCTCCTAACAAGGTCGTACTCCTCTCTGCCCATGTGGCCAGTCAATGCAAAGAGACCTGGGGAAACCCTAGTGAGTGAATGTGAGTGGATTTGTTTTTTCCTTCTTGTGTAGTCACATCATTAGACTCTAAAAAGAGATACCACTTAACAGCTAATCTACAAAGTCCTAGTTCAGAAACTGCCAGGCTTTGACCACCTTATTCAGAGTTAAGTCTGTCTCTCTTCTGAGACATCTGCTTTTGCCTGTTTCAAGAGAGACTCCCACCCAAAATATATAGTGAAGCATGGATAATAGTCCTGGGAGGGCTTGATCACAGAGAGAAATGGCCTATTGTCCCAGCAGTGGAAAAGCCAAATATGAAGGTTTTTGCTATACTCACTGGTAGTAACTGCCACCAAACTCTATAGACTCTACCCCTGGATTTACAGTGGGATTGCAGCGTTAGAGATGAAAGATTTTATCAATTTTGTCTGTTCCTTATTTGATTTCTCCTGTATTTCTTATCTATCCCTCACTGTAATTAAGATTCTTAATTTTGAAACCCGTTCAACTTGATGTCTCTGAAATCCAAAGGCTTTCCTCCAAATTTACAATCACTCATACATGCTACATGCATTTGCAAACATGATCGGAGTGGAAAACACACTGAATTTGGGAGCCTAGCTTGGAAATGTCATTTTTTTCCTATGTATCTGAGAGATTCTGGGAGTTGTAGTCCAAACTCTGCTTAATATAATAAACAATAACCACATGCTGTCAATTCAAATCTCATTAATGAATACCCTTTTCAGGGTATTCCAGAAAGGGAATACTCAGAAGTGGTTTCCCATACCTTTCTTCTGGAACTGTACAGCTTGCCCAAGACTACCCAGGCTGGCTCTACTTACAGGAGGCAACATGAGGAATCGAACTCCCAACCTTTGGCTCCACAATCAGATACCTAACTCACTGAGCCATCCAGCCAGCTGTAATTTCTGCTTAAGGCAAGGAAAGTTTTCCACTTTCCCTTTCTCTTACATTCATAGGGCAGTATCCTGTTTCCACTCTATCTAGAGGGAGAGTGGAAAGGAGATTGTGTAAACACCGTGTCACCATTTCTCCAGCAGGCTTCCCAGAACATGACAAGCTATAAATGAATCTCACAAGCAGCTGTGAGAACAGGGAGGGACATCAGAGCCTGCTGGTGTGGGCTAGCCCAGTGGTTCTTAACCTTTGTTACTCGGATGTTTTTGAACTGCAACTCCCAGAAACCCCAGCCAGCACAGTTGGTGGTGAAGGATTCTGGGAGTTGCAGTCCAAAACTCCTGAGTAACCCAAGGTTAAGAACCAGTGGGCTAGCCTATAGGATTGTCTTTCCGCTTCATTTTAAGGCACTGGGCCGTTGGCCAAGGTTTCAAAACCACAAGCTTTTTCCATTCAAACATGAGATATAAGTGGGGGTGCATTAAAAATGTAAATTCGAAGGAGACAGATATAACCAAGTTTGTCCACTCTCCGCACTGGCCAAATTCAAGAAGTGCAGTTCTTTCCAACATGAATCAGACCATATGATACCTGGATGCTAAAGGACAGGTGACTCTTCAGAGTCTGTGGGTGGAGGTCCCAAGCCTAATTCAGCTCCAACATCCTTGAATTCACAGACGTTTAGGGTCAGGATTTTTAAGAATTAAACACGGAAATGCTGGGCTTGAATGAACAAATCTGACAGTTTTTATTTCTTCCATGCTCAATGGTTCCTTTCCCCCTTGCTCTGAATTTCATCCAGAATAAACAATGTATTCTAAATACGAAGACGTTTATGAATTTTGGGAGGTTACTATAAAAAAATTCATGCTTTAACTGCTTAACTGTTAAAACTTTGTGTTTAATTACTCCTGTAGTCAAACATAGTTGCTGTGCTGAATTATACTTGCCATTTCCTCCTTTTGAGAGAGGAGCAGAGAGCAGAGAATAAAAGAAAGAGGCAGCTGTAATCCTTAGTACCTGTAGGGTGAGCAGGTAACACACTGGGGAACATGCACAGAATTCTCCTTGCACAGTGTGTTGTTGCACAAGTGGAACAAGGGCTAAGAAGGTTGTGCAAGAAGATCTCCATGCTCATTTGTTGAACAAGTAGAAGACGCTGTGTCATGAACAGGGGCACTTCTGAGTCTACACCTGCGCAGTGGAGGATGGGCTAAAATGGAGTGGAGCTCCCATCAACCAGAGGGTTATGCTTTGCCGACAGTCAACATGATTGTTTCCCCATCACCACCTCCTAAAAAAATCCCCACAAATGCGGATGGTGCACATGGGGGATAAATTTTCCCCCTTTTGTTTTCCAAGGCCATGATCCAGTTGCAAACAAAGAGTAAAATTCTAAAACTATCATTGGGCAAACTCATCCCCCCCACCATTGCCAGACTGCCTATCCCACACTGGTTGCAAAACAAATGGCATGTTGGTCAACCCGGGAAAGGGGGAGGGACTACTTGCACAAAGTAATGGCGTAGATCTCCTAATCTCTGCTGTAAATCCAGTAAATGCAGGAAGTGATTAAACCCTTCAACAGTGAGAATGCTGACGTTCGCCTTACGTTTCTGTGTTCAGTTGTACATCGTAGAAAAGATATGTTCATAACCCAGGGGGGGAACTGAAATTACAGTATTTCATGGCTGTGAACTGTCTTCCTCTTGACCTCATTTCTGCAGAACTTGGTCCATATCTATTTTAGTATTGCTCATTGCTTCATTTCTCCTCCTATCCTCTTAAATGTCTAAGCTATGAGACAATTTTTGGAGCTCTGAGACAAACTCTCCCAGTCTGAGCTCTAGAGCAATTCCTAAGAGTCCCTTAGGGAGTAAAGTAATACCGCGCAATGCCTGCATCTTTGGGGTGGGGGAAAGCCTCCAGGAACTAGATTTAGTCCCAGAGAGGACAAAAGCAAAGGCCGAGGAAAGGGCTGAAGGTCCATAGAAGGACAGAAAAAAACAGCACAAGCATCAGATATTCTGAAGAGCCTGACAAGAAGGGACTGAAGGGAAAGGGAACTTGTGGAGCAGCAAAGAAGCAACACCATCCGCACAAATTATGAGCAACCTAAACAATGGGAAGATGGAAGGTGATGCTTCTGTTGGTCAGGATCCTCCTCCCTATTCTGAAAAGCTGCTCAGCGGAGAACCAGATCAACGGGCACTACCTGCTGGGCTAAGCAGTCCCATGGGCTATGCGGCACCTCTACCTGTCCCACAACAGTACCAACTTTATTACGGTCCACCTGCTGTAGGATTGAGCCAAGCCACAGTCCTTCAGCCTCCACAGACCATCATCATCACGACTATCGACCCTATGGAAGAGCCAGATTACATGGGTTTCTCCATCTTCACCATGCTTTGCTGTTTCTTACCCCTTGGAATTGCTGCCTTTGTATATTCCATAAAGGTGAGGCAAGGGTGTGGGTGGGTGGGTGTGTTCTGACAATATTTTCATTGCTCCTTTTAGAAAATGTTGGAATGGGCAGTATTTTGGGTAACTCAAGAAAAGGCAGAGCTTCTGAATTTCATTAAAGGTTCAATTCCTTCCTTCTCCCCCTGCAAATACTTTAACATCGCTACTGAGATGCACTGCTGGCAGAGGACATTGATAAAGACGGGGCGCTGAAAGTGAAAGATTAACAGAATGGAAGGTTGGAGGCAATTGTTGGTTTAATTATTAAAGATGTCAGCCAAATCCTGTTGCATAGCTGGCAAGTAGGAAGCAACAGTGGAACTTCCAGTGGCAAATTGCCCTTCTGTCAGCTCAACTATGCAACAGGATTAGGGCTGTTAGTGAGAAGATCTTTCAACATTAATATTAGGTATAAATTTTAAAAGGTGGGTAAGGAGAGTGGATGTAGTTGCCAGAGAATATAAAGTACAACAGACATAAAACAAGCGGACCATGACACCTACTGTATGAGATCTCAAGTAATGCCACAATCAGAATTATTGAGTACAAATCTGCATGCTGCCCAATCTTTAAGGACAGAGATCCCTCCTTATGTGCTAGCAGGAAAAGACGGTATATGTTCAGAGGGGAGGATGAACGCATGGAGAGCTGGATATTGTATTTGACTAGACATGTGTGTTTCCAAAGAGGCAGCTATGCCTGTTGCTGTGCAAAATAAATGAGGATTTCATGGTCCGACATGTAAAAGCCAAAGAGAATTCTTCTTAAATCTGTGTTCATGCTCTAAGAGCTCCCTGCAATGTTTTATCGGAGGTAGCACAAAACTCTTCATCCTATATATGATTGTTTCGGATGTGACTTTTGCCTGCATTTTTATGATCCAGAGTCCTTTTATGATCCAGAGTCCAACTGGTAGCATGGATTCATCAAACAACTCCTTATAAAATCAAAGATCACAAAAGGGCTGACAGTTGTGAAAGGAGAGGTTATAAGCCAGTTAAGATGTACGTGTTTACACTCAAGAAGCGACTTTCAGACCAGTTGCCTTGTAAGACTGCTTTGGGAATAAAGCACAAAATATTAATACTATAACAATTGGAATAATCCATACTCAAGATGTTTTGGAACTAAACTTTGAGTTCTTTGCACTCCATCATTAGAAAAGGCAATGCCTTTAGTTCTGATTGTGTGTGATTGTCGTAGCAGCTGCTTTTCTGACCACTCATAATTTACAAATTAGCTTGTTCTAATTTGTAGCTGGTTTTCAAGATGTAAGTGGATTCTTTGTTTGTATGGCTAAATTCTCAAATGCACAAGACTCCTTGGGCCTCATCTCTTCTTGAACATCAGTGTGATTTCACTCCGACCAACAGGCTGTGTGTAATGTGCATTTTGGTTCTTTGAGATGTTGGAGGCAGAACTGGATTATGAAGATGGATGTCAAAAAACAAACCACTGACACATTTAACCACATCTTAGTAATAACAGTAATAATCTTAAAACTGCAAAGCTGGCAGTGACTCTCTGGACTGTCAAGTCTAAACCCTGTGAAGAAGGCCCAGTGGGAATTAGAACTCCCAGCCTCTGGTTCTGCAGCTAGATAACTAAACCACTGAACTATTTAGCAACACATTAACGATGGTTAATTGAAACAAAACGTTCTGATATCTTTCTAAAAGCAAAACAGAGAAGAAGAAATGAACCAACCCATCAAGCTCAATTTTGCTGAAGCTCTTTTTTTTTTCCAAATAAATGACTTTTTTCCAGTTAAAGGAGGTTCTCCCCATGAATGAAAGAGAAATATGATCACCTCTCACAAAGGAAAATCAACACTCTATCAATGGAATCATGGGGATTTCATTTTTACTTGGGGGGAAATCCCCGGTAACTGTCAGAGTTATGGTATGGGGATGGATCAAGACAGAAAAGTGGAGGAGGAAAATAAGGTGGTGGAAGCTGTCTATTGAACAGATTCCTATCTTCTGGTATCTTCATTCATACATTGACTGGCTACTGTGACAATTAATTATCCTTTTAGGAATTCAAAATAGGTGCCCTGCCAAGGGTTTTTGGGCTGAACCCCTGTCTGCCCTAGCCAATGTAAACAATGAGTGATAATGGTGGTGGTTGTGGGTATTTCGGGTTCTTTGGCCGTGTTCTGAAGGTTGTTCTTCCTGACGTTTCACCAGACTCTGTGGCCATGGGCATCTTCAGAGGACTGGAGTCCACAGAGGATAAAGGACACTCTGACACTCCTCCAGCAGATCTTTCCAGGAGACATCAAGGTCCTTTTCCAACACTGCCTAATGACCAGCTACTTTCCATGGGAAAACGAGTTCTATGAACAGACAGATGGAGTGGCCATGAGGAGCCCCCTCAGCCCTACATGGAGCATTTTAAAAAACAGGCCCTGACTTCGGCACCCTCTGCACCCACAGTCTGATTCCGATACGTGGATGACACCTTCGCAATTTGGAACCACGGCAAAAAAAACAAAAAACTGGAAGAATTTCTAAACCATCTTAACAACATCCACCCAAATTCGCCATGGAAAAAGAAATAGAGGGCCAACTCCCGTTCTTAGATGTCATGGTCGTACGCAAAACTGACCTCCTATTGGGACACAAGGTCTACGGAAAACCCACCCACACAGACCGGTACCTACACAAAAAATTCCAACCACCACCCACAACAGAAAAGAGGCATAATCAAAACACTAGTAGACCGTGCAAATCAGAACTGTGAAGCTCAATTTCTCAGCACCGAACTCAACCATCTGAATTGGGCCCTACAGGCAAACGGCTATTCCAAGAATGAAATCAAAAGGGCGATCACACCAAAAAAACAACACCAAACTGAAGAGGAAAAACAGCCACCCACAAATAAGGTATTTCTGCCATACATCAAAGGGGTCATGGACCTCATGGGGAAACTTTTGAAAAACACAACCTACAAACAGTATTCAGACCCACCTCAAAAATACAACAAATGGTACGGTCAACAAAGGACAGAAGGGACCCCCTCACCACTGCAGGAGTATACCGGATACCTTGCAGTTGTGGACAGGTATCTATTGGAACCACAAAACGCAGCATCCACACCAGAATCAAAGAACATGAGAGACACTGCAGACTAAAACAACCAGAAACATCAGCAGTAGCTGAACATGCCCTAAAACAAGCTGGACATGAAATTCTATTTCAAAATACTGAAGTACTGGACAACACCAGCAACCACTATGTTAGACTGCACAGGGAAGCCATTGAAATCCATAAACATCAACAGAATTTCAACAAAAAGTAAGAAGGTCTAAAACTAAACGCGGCCTGGCTCCCGATATTGAAAAATACAGCCTGTAAAAGGTCAATGAACTCTACCCAGCCACAAGGGCCAGGGATCATTGCACAAAAAAGACCAGCTAATGACACCCATCAATCACAGTACTCAGCTATCCAACAAACAGCAAGAGAGCATGGACAGAGTTCCTACTCCAGTCCTCTGAAGATGCCGGCCACAGAGACTGGCCAAACGTCAGGAAGAACAACCTTCAGAACACGGCCAAAGAGCCCGAAAAACCCACAACAACCATCAGATTCCGACCGTGAAAGCCTTCGAGAATACAACGGGTGACAATCCTCATGAGACTTTCTTACCCCTCCTATATTGAAATAAAACATTCCCATGAGTGAAGAAGGATGTTGTATATAAATAGATGCAAGAGCTGGTTGTCAATGTGAAATAACTGTGCACAAGAATTAATCTATTGGATTGAAAGGTCAGACTTCCACTTTTTTTAAAAAAAGGACTCTGCATCATTGGGAACATTGATTTAAGTCCATTTATTCAACTGGTTGTTTGTTTGCTGGCTTGAGCTGAATCACAACTGCTCATGTTTTATAGACACTTTTATTTTAGTCTGTCTCTTATTTCTCCTTCTTCTTTTTTCACAGACCAGAGATGCCAACCGTGCGAGAGATGGAACAAATGCTCGCCAGTACTCCAGGCTTGCACGCATTCTGAGTTATACAGCATTTGGGGTGGGGACTGGGATTACAGTTGTGTGCATCATCCTAAAAATTGTACTTGCTGCCTCTATGCGGAACTACCACTATTAATTGTATAACCCTTAGTGAGAGTGCAGGATGAAGCCTTTTATTACTCTGAGAGAATTAACTTTGACACACAAGCTGGAGACGTCTTGCAATCATTCTTTTCCAATTATTTCATAAAGGGATGCAAAGCAAGCTGGGTCACATGTCCATGCCCATCACATGATTTCCATACCCTTGACTTGATTACCAGAATTCCTAAGCATTGCACTTATAGAACAATGCAGTGTTCTGAAAATTATGCCTTGTGAGTCAGTTTGCACACAGATTGAAAAAGCTGCTGAATTTCAAAGCCAGGATGCCTGGAGACCATGTTGGTTGATAGATTCTAAAACGTCTAATCCCAAAAGGCAACTTTGCCAAGTTTTCAGTTTACAATAGAACCTTCTTCATCAAGCAATTGCTGGAATCCTGTTGTGCAGTTACACGAATGGCACAACTTTTAGTGGCAAAATGATATATGAAATCACTATAGAACATGACTCATTAGGCAACAAACAATGTCCATGGAGATGTCTTAATTTCTGACACTATGCCAGTTACCGGTGCATTATTTGTGTAACTCCACAACAGGATTTCAACCAGCGAGTGTCATGTGCAATCCAACTTTATGATGATCCCAAACCCAGACAATAAAATGAGGATCTGCATATTGCCTGTGAGTCATAAATTCAATATTGGCCCAATTTTGGGTTGGACAACTTTCCGATTGTTTGCCCCAGTATTATCAAGGATAAAATATGCACCTGCTGTTTGCTGTGCTGGATTTGATTGGGTTGGACAACTTTCCAGTTGTTTGCCCCAGTATTATCAAGGATAATGCACCTGCTGTTTGCTGTGCTGGATTTGCACTGTTAATGAACACAGTCAACCAAATATTAGATC